TACGGAAGAAACTGCTAGCACGATAAATGACAGAACAGAGGAAAGTACTGATACTTCCACAGACGTTTCATCCGGTAATACAAATGATCCTGACTCCAGTTCCTCAACGTTTGAAGGGACTAATCACACGGAAGAAACTGCTAGTACAGGAAATGACAGAACAGAAAGTAGTAGTGGTAACACAAATGATTCTGATCCCGGCCCCTCAACCGTAGAGATCACTCCTTCTGAGGATCAAAATAATGATACAGGAAGGAATGGAACGGAGGAAAATACTGCTCCTTCCACAATATATCCGGTTAACACAACAGATACTTCTGAATTCAGTAGTATGACCTCGGCAGATGATAGCGGCACGGGATTGTCAACCACAGTGAGTAGTGGAAAGGAAGAAAGTACCACTATTGCGCCCGCTGTGAATTCTAGCAATTGTAGCACAGTTTCGGTAATAACTTCGACAATGCGTATGCCTGATAGAACGTCAACGAGGACCGCGTTTCCGAGTTCTGTTTCGCTGTTTAGTTCTAGTTCGATCATCTCTTCATCTCGTCTGGTTACTACTGTTCCAGGTTAGGGAATGTTTGGTCTTTTATTAAGTCAAAATAAGATTTTAATGGGGGTGCTTGAGTAGTCTTATTTGTTACGAAATGGCTGTAGGGACATGGTCAGGGGTTCCAAACAGTTTTTTTGCTTCGCGTTTGAGCTCTTGGGCTTCTGAAAGCCATAAACCGCTGCTTATATGAAGCTCTTGTGAAACTTCTTTGCAGTTATGTTTAAGATAGATAATAGATGCTGTTTTTCAAAGAGGTAGACAGTATAAGATCCGTAGTGACGCTGAAGAAGATCATGGTTGCCAAAAAGATATGTACCAAACGATTTCTTTGGCGAGAGAATTCACTGAAGTCTGGAGTAGTAATTAAAGACTGGTTATGGCGTCTTGCAGTGGAACTGCAGTTGCAATTACAGTGCCAAAAAGTGACAGCAACGCAGCCTGCACATTCATGGCTTTGACTCTCATATGGCTTGCAAATGTAAAGGTGCTCCTTACAGTAGTTTGCGTGATACAGTTTAAATAGAATTAAATCCCCATCTTTTAAAAAAAAAAAAAAAAAAAACTTTTCTCAAAGTTTAACTTTTTCGCTATTTTTATTATAAGAGAATAAATGGGAAATATTTAATGATTTTATGCAGAAAGAAAAATTAAAACTTTGAAAATAGATTGAGCTAGTGGTTTACATGTATAACTGAAAATTAGGTTATAAAAAAGTCAGACGTTAAATCTTTAATACAAGAAATTTTACATAAGCAACAACTCAATACTTTTGCTTAGTGACAAGGAAAAAAATATTTGTATTAAAACAATTTCCTCAAAAGAGTTGTAGAATGAAG